CTCTAATTAGAAAGTTGAGTAAACACAGAAAATTTGAAGAATGTTTATCTCCGTCTTTTCTTTTTTCCTCCATTTATCAGGCTACCACATGACAGAAGTAGAATGTGGTTAGTCATGTATTGTTTTGTATTTTTAATATAATTTTAGGTGCACTTTAAAGGAGTTATAATTAAAAACTGAATTATAAAAATTACACTATGTATTCAGTTGTATGTCCTATGAACAATCATGTAATTTTGTTCAAGTTGTTCCTTAATAAATTATTTTCATGGGCTCATTTTAACTTGTAGTATACGTGTTTATGAATGGATGGATTTCTTTTATCTGATTTTATTTTCCTTAAACTTCAAATCTGATCATGCTTTTTGAATTATGTGTTTGTCATGTTTGGCAGTTGGTCCATGTTTGGCCATTCCTAAGCTTCTGTAATTCCTTTGAGGGTTCTGGAAGGTCACTGTGTGGCCTGACCTCCTGCTAGGTGAACTGCTTTTTTCTCTCTCCAGATGTTTTCTTGTTCAAAGTTTTATTGCCAAAGTCTGTATACAAGTCATAAATGAGAAGCATCAAATATTGTTCAATGGTGAAAGTAGGACACTTTCAAACTGGAGGGACATGTTAGGAAGGTGCACCTGGGTCCTGCCAGTGTTTCTCCTGGCACGCCTGCCCTGGGAGGCTCTTTGCCCTTAGCCATCTGTGGTTCCATAAACAAACTGCAGTGGTTTCTTCTCCTGATTCAAATCCTAGCAGGGATTCCTTTTTAGTTCCTTTGATGTCGTGACACCAGTAGCAGCGTGCTCATGAATCTCTGTGGGTCTTTCTACTCTTAGGGGTTGTATCGGGATATTAAGTAAGTGCTCCACAGGAGTTTCCCATGTGGGGATTCTGCAAGGCATGTGCTGAAGGATGCCCACAGGGCCTCCTGAGAAAAGAAAATCTTGTTTTATGCCCTCTGACCAACTTCAAATTTTCCTGTTTCTTCTCTCTTATAAAATAGGCAAGTCTCCTCTTTACATAATCTTTCTCATTTGTTGAGGAATGTCCTTCTTGTTACAACACTCCAGCACCTACCAATGCTACCCTTTCAACTTTAAGTTAGATTAATTTCAGAGTGCTTCATGAATACAAGTTATTTTATTGGGGATTTGTAGATGTAGACTTGCCTAGTGAACATCTAAATGTGTGTAGTTATTGCAATATGTGTATATTTTTATGTTAAAACTATGTAAATAATTATGTCATATGTTGGTATATAATTGTGACATATATAACATTCTTAGAACATAATACAACGTTTTTGCTCCTACTTAAACATCTCATGTCTATAAATTTGCTTTGCAATAAACCATCAGTTTTTAACACTATTAATTCTTTTCAGAATATATTGCAATTGATATTTATAATTTACATATATTTCCTTGGAAAAAGAGTTCTGTATCAAAGCCCAACTTTTGTTTAAAGTAAGGGCAAATGCCAAAGGCTAGGGAGATGGCTCAGTAGGTAAAGCGCCTCTCAGCAAGCATGAGGACCTGAACTCTGTTTGCAGCATACATGCAAAAAGTCAGGCACCTGCAATGCCAGTGCTGAACATGTGGAGACAAGGGGATCCTTGGAGCTTGCTCACCAGTCAGCCCAGCCAAACTGGTAAGCTCCAGGTTCAGTGAAAGACCGTATCTCAAAAAGAATAAATAAATAAATAAACAAACAAACAAAAGAAGGGTGTTAAAAAAACACAAGCTTTACGAAAGTAAGAAGAAACTAAATAGTTATCTTTCAGAGATATTTATAAGCAACTGGAAACCTGATAGTTGACACTGAAGCTGAAGACCAAGAAGAAATATGGTGATCGTATCCAAAAAAAAAAAAAAAAAAATCATCACATGACTCTACAGAACTGAAAAATTCAGAGAAAAATAAAGTCTTTGAAAATAAACATTTTACTATTATACTAAACCTAAGTTTAGCAGAACTTTTAAGTAAGTGATGGACACCCCTCTTTTCACTGACAATTGTCATGAACTTTGTAAGGTGATCTAGCACTGAGGCTGGCTGTCAGCCTTCACCTCTTCCTATTAGGTGCTTTTTCTTCATGTAGGATTATGTCATCACACTTTGAAAAATAGTTTTCTGGGTTTAATAAGAGTAAGATAAACTGCTTTCCTGGAGGAAACAAGCATCTGAAATCCCAATTATTAATGAATTTTATAAGCATTGTTCAGTATCAAATATTTCACCTCAAGAGGTCATTTCCATTGGTTAAAAGCCCCTAGCAATCAGTGCCTTTTGTTGTTTACTAAAACCCCAAGGATATCAAAGTCAGCCCTGAGGGAATGGGCAAGGAAAGTTTTGAGTATCAGATTAATGTCTGTGGTGATATTGTAAGAACACTTAATAGTTAAGGATAAAACCTACCTATCTGCTAGATGGCTTGTTGTGTGATTTATAGTGAGGCACCGAAGATCTATTAATTTCTTTTCCCCCTAAATGCATAGATTGGAATATAAAACTTCTAAATTCCGATGCAGCATTATCCTACATTATTTCTACAAGAGAGGTATCATCTCATAGAACAAGTATTTGGCGAATACTCTGTTAACACTACAGTGAAGTGGACGACACAGGAGTCAGAACAAAATGGGAAAATAATGTGAATGATCAGACCAAGTCTGGTAAGTGTTGCAGAGGGAATGCACTGGGATCCACAAAGAGGATAGTATGGATGGAGTTGGTCTAGGTCAGGAACCACAGGTATCTCTGGATATGAGGAACTTCTTCTGTTATATGAAGTACAAACTAAGAAGATTAAAAGAAGAGGTGATGTTGGGGGTGAAGTGGGAACAAACATTGGGGAGTTACTGGAGAGGAAATTCAGACAAGGCAGATGGTCATTGAGCCTAGTGTCTAGAGATAAAGGCAATAGAACTGTTGACAAGTGGGAGGATTTGAAATCTATTTTATTGCAGAGGGGGCAATCCTTTGGACAGATACTTTAGGAGCAGTAAGTGGTAAGATAGTACCATCGGAGATTCCCAGAGTTCCTGCTTAGGAAATGGCTAAGGTATAGAACAGAAGGGGAGATGGAGATTTGCATATGGTGACTCTGATTTATGAACATCGGCAGGTAATGTTCAGCCAGTCACTGAATGCACGGATATCAGAGTTGTGGCTGAGGCTGAAAACCTTTAGATTCATCAGAAAGTATAAGCATGATACTTCAATTATAGGGTTATGAATGACAAGATCAATTATTAGCAAATTGATTAGTCATGATAGTATTTGTTTGAAGAGGTCTGTTCTTGTTCACCTCTTTTGGTTGACATTGTAAGCCAACTAGTCTAGCTGTTAAAGACTAGAATTTTTAGATGTAAAATCATGCTGAGATATTTTTTGGCTCTTCTGTATATACATTTCTAAATGCTACAGAAGTATTTTCATATCAAAGAGCAGCCTCTGATTAGAGACATATTTATGTAATATACATGTTTATGCTGGCTAAAATTTGCTTTGTGAAGCTCAGATACAGACAGAGATGGCATCTCTTAGTATTTTGTTTTACTCTAATTTAACTTGGCTTCTAGGCTCCAGGGTCTAGTGGGAGAAAATTCAGCCTTGGTTCTGCTTCTCTGAGAGTAATGCATTCTTCCATGAGCTTTGAAAGTGTGGGCCTGGACCCTCAAAGCTATTTCCTTTGCACTGCTTGGCTGCCCATACTGCCTTTAGCTTCATGATATAGTGGGAATTTGTCCTTATCCCAAAGGAACTCTTAAAGGATGTAATTCTGTACAAAATTTGGAGCTGACCTTCCAGCCATAATCTCTGAACAGTCTTGTTAACTTTCCCCACAGACACATAATGTCATTTGTTTCACTGAACCTCCATTTCATGTTGTTAGCCCATTTCTGTATTTATAGAACTTGTATTCAGGGCATCCAGGCTGTGAGCCTTGAAGGCATTTTCTATGACCAAGAGAGGCTGATCTTCCAGATCACAACCAGTCTCTCTTCCACATAGGGTCCATTTCTGGGGAATCCTGAGTTTAATCCCTTCCCTTAGAGGATACAAGACTACTTTCTTGAGGGACCAGACAGTTTATTTCCCCGACTTACTTGTGATTTTCAATGCTCCCTAGGCCTTCCTTTCACACATCTGATTTCACATTCATAAGCGCACCCTGCTGCAAACATCCCCATTTTCCTCATGAATAAAGCTTCCTACAGGTGTCTGACTCCTTTTGTTCTGCAGTTTTACTGTGGGCTCAGGATTCTTCCAGCAAATTCTCAAAGTGTTGCGTATCATCTAACCAGCCGTGTGGTAGGCAGCATGCTGGGTGCCCTTTGGTGGCTATGAGCTCCCTTGCTCTCATCTTTCCAGTGTGCATGTGGGGCCTTTGGAAAGGAGTCGACACTAGGTTTTCTGAAAGCTTTTCCAAGAAGCTCGGTGGAAAGCTGACAGAGTATCTGTTGTGCTTCCGTTCTGGGTGCTCTAATGGTCTTGTCCACTCTAGCTCATGGAGACTTTGGTTTATCTTTGTAGTCATCCATTTGTCACTGCTCCCTTCAATATGTAATGTTTCTTACTCTGCTCTTTCCTTTCTTAGCATCAATAGTGGAAAGATGTAGGAGGAGCCAATGACCAGTCCGGTGATCTGAGAACAAAGCCAATTGCCTGGCTGTACATGTTTTAAAGACATTATAAAGGTCAGTTTATGCTGCTACAACAAACAATCTTTGAGTGGTACGTAAACAACAGGAATTTATTTCTCGCGGTCTGGTGCCGGGGGAAGTCTAAGATCAAGTGGTTGGCAGATTCAGTGTCTGGTGAGGTCATGTTTCCTGGTTCAGAGACAGCTGTGTTCACAAAGCATATAGCAGAGGGAGAACTCTGGTCTCTTTAGCTTCTTGTGAAGGCATTGATGCAATTCATGAGAGCATGCTCTCGTCACACATGCTGTATGTTCCATGTACGTCATGGGTCTGCCCCACCCCTCCAGGGGAGTCCATTGTTACATCTACAGATACAAAGCTGTCTTTTCCATTGGCTTCCTGGTAATTATTCTGGTAGTTGGCATGCTCTTTAATGTTCAGCCACATCCAAAAGGTCATTTGGATCATTTGAGGTTTTTATTTAAAGTTACAAACACACTAATGGCTCGGAGAACACAAGGACTTTGAAGATTTGGGTCTGAGACACACTGTGAGCCACACTCCACCTTCCTAAGCCTTTTAGTAGTGTCTCTAAGCCACAATTCCAATGTCTCCTTTTTAAGATGTAAATGTTATTCTTAGAAAATAAACTCATTTATTGATCATTTATTTTTATATCTAAAGGGGCACAGCTTTTTTATCACTGTCTACTGGTGCCTTGAGTAGTGTGTTTAGGTGTTGGATCAATGAAGTGTTTTCACACTCCAGGACTTTGGCATCCTATTCTCTGTGCATGCTTCTTATTTAGAAAGAGGTTTTCCTTTGGGAAATTCGAGGTCAAGGGTAGGAAGTTTAAAAGCCAACTGCTGTGCGCCTCCATTTTCAACGTTGCTTTAGTAAAGATCTCTATCTTTATCTATGGGCAAACTAAGACTGCCTGCCTTTTCTTCCTTTTCCCAAAAATGTGAGCCTTATTGAATGCTTTCACAAGATATTTAATACCTACTGTGTATTCTTTCAAACCTAGTTTTGTCACATTTGTTGAATTTCTCACATTTATCTTTACAGAGTTTGCATTCATCTTTGTAAACAGTTTTCTAACAGGGTCACAGCTGTAACTAGTTTCTTGAACAGTTGGAACTCGGTGGGAGTGAATACTAAACCATTCTGTTTTTCCCCAGCCATGGGCTGAAACCATGCTCCAGTAAATTCTTCTTTCTTGTATCTTCACATCTTGGATGGATTAAAATTCTGTTCACTTTTGATTGTTTAAAGTGAGTTCATTTCGAGACTAATCTTGCTGATTAAAGTCTCAGCCCCTACCTTCCCCAGTGACTCTGGAATGAGGAATGGGTGCTATCTGCTCCTGTATGGCTTTTAATCCTACATAGGTGCCTGGGACCACAGTCCTCCAGGATAACTCCATTCCTCTTTCGTATTGTGATATTGTCCCTTCGGTGAGATGAGACATGGAGCAGAAGAGGGAGAACGCCTCAGTTTCATTGCTAGTTACCATTGTCAATCGTCACCTTTTCTGTAATTTGGCTTTGCAGCTCTTACAACACTTGTGATGTACAGGGGCAGGTGTGTCCTGAAGAGAGCCATCTGGGTCTCTTCAGTCCCACATTTTCTGACATGAGAGATCTGGCTGAAGCTCCAGCTCTTCCAAATGTTTGTAGGCTTCCATACAGTGTCATCAGTCAGCAGTCAGCCTTCCTGCATTCCAAATCTGCTCAAACAATAAGACTGTGTGCTGTTCTTGTTGTCAGTGACTTGGTGTAGAATGTAGATCTGGTACTTTGTGCCTCTTCATGCAAAGTACCATGCCCTAATAGCTTTTGGGGCTTATGAGAGAATTCCACTTATTAATAATTGTACCATGAATCAGGATAAGAGAAGTTATATGGAATGCACAACTATATAATCTCAGAGAAACAGGAAGCATTTGTTTTTTGCTCACTTCATGTATTCAACACAGTTGAGAGAGAGAGAGACAGAGAGAGACAGAGACAGAGACAGACAGAGATCTGCACATCACAATGAGAATCAAGGGTAGTAGAGGACCATTTTGTCATGTAGTTTCATAATGATGGGGTGACAGCAAAGAGGTGTGGGAAATAACTTTTCTAAATTGTCATCTAAAGTGGCACTAGTCATCTTTGTTTCTTGGCAATATATGTGCAATATATCCAATTGCCCTCAGATGGATTGGGGAAGTATGATTCCTTTATTGTTGTGAAGGAGAATGAGGATACTTGAGAGTAGCCCTAAAGAAAACTTGACCCATTCTAATCCCCAAATTCCTTCTTTAAAAAAAAGTTATACTCAGTCATTTTATGTATGTAATCCCAAGTCCAGCATCTTCCAGGGAAACTCTACAGTCATGTATTCACATCTGGGCATGGCTCTTCTTAGTCTGCAGTTCTCATAACATAAAAGACAAATAATCTAGTCTAAAGCAGAAACTAGAAAATTGGTCTGTTCCTGAATGCTAAGCACTTTTATCATTCTTTACAGCTATGGAAAGTTGGATCACCAAGACAAGTCTAAGCCATTGACCTTTTACAGTTCAGGTATGCACTTGCTTAAGCAATAAGATGTTAAAAATAGCAAGGTATAGTATCTGCTACACTACATTCAGTTGTGTGCCCCAAGAACTACACATGTTTTATTTTTAGACATATGAATTAAATATCTGTATTTGACCTGTCTCCACCTTGTGCTAATTAAGAATTGACCAGGCTTTTTTTCCCTCCCAAATCACTGTTTTTCAATGGAAAGAAATAAATGGGCATTAAGCCTTTAGTTGAATCTGCTCCACTTTCTTTAATCCAATTGGAACTATTAAATTTGGGTTTGAAATTTATACTCTTAACTTTATCCTTGTTGAGTTAAAATTGGCCTCTCTCATTGTGGAGCACCTTTGGTTTTCTTTTACAGGATGAAAAAAAATTAGTGGAATTTTGAAGTGGAGGATTCACTATTTTATTTTATTTGCTTTTATGTCTGGCTGAATCTAGACATTTTCTCAAATCCACCTTTCTCAAAATGTCTTATAAATTAAGCAAGTAAGAGCAAGGCCACAGTGGTCACAATGATTTCTGATTTTATACATGTAAACTAAAAATTATTTATTATCTTCCTTCCAAGTCACTCCAAGCAACGGTTCTTTAAAGTGTCATTCATTCTCAACATCAGTCATAGTCTTCCTAGTTGTTCCTGAATTCAGTTGACAGAGCTTGAGATAATAGGAGTTGCTGGTAACTAACACACTGGCTACAGAGAGTAACTTGGCCACACTTAACTTCAACTGAATGTGGAAGCATCATCCTACCAGATGCTTGGAAAGGACACTGGAATGTTTGTAATAATCTTAATGAATATCATAGTCATTGCAGCAAAAATAGTTCTAACATTTATATTTAATTTGTCCATTTGTGGTACAGATGTGGAATAGACAACATTCTTAGCAATCTTGATATTTTCCTCCAAACCTGCCTTTTCTGTAATCTCAGTCCACTTAGTAGTAATTTTTTTTCTCAGTTAGTGGACCAAATATAGCACAATAATCCATGCCCCCGCCCCGTTATAACCATATGGCTGACCCCATTGATTTGCTTTCAAATATATTCGAAATATGGCTATCACTTCTTACTGTCTTCATCTCTATTGTCCAGGTCTAAAAGGTGGGAGATAAGACCAGTTTTATTGTTTTAAAAGAAAAAGGATTTTAGAGGGACAGAAGAGTATGAAAGGTGGTGGATCATGCAGGGAGGTGAGAGTCTTGAAGGCAATTAATGTATTAAAATAAGAGACGTGCAGAAATAGCTTTTACTGCTGTATCTTAATTCTGTGTAACTATTCTTAACGTATTTGTCATGGTAGTCTTAAATATATAGATCCACTTATATAATTCTCTTCTTAAAACCTTCTGGAGGCTTCCTGCCACATTGAGTCAGTTCCTTTTGCACTCTTCTAACCTTAGACCCTTTCCTCTTGGGTCCCCCTTCTCCCTTTTATCTGGCCATGTTGTTTTCTTTACAGTCCCTCAAACATGCAATCACTTGCGGCTTGTTTTTTCCTCCCCAAAAGAGCCAAGGATTTGCTCCCTCATCTTCTTTGGATATTTGTTTTCTTGATGCTCCTTTGTGAGTGTAGCCTTTGTTAACCAGCCAATTAAAAAGGTCGTGCCTGAAGTGCATCTACCACTTGGCTTTGCTTTTCCTTTACAGTGATTACCATTCACCATGTTTTACTTATCTCATCGGCTGCAACAGAATGTTAAATTAAGGAAACGTATCAGGCTCACTTCCTTTTCTCTTCTTCCTCTGTCTTCTTAATTACTATGATGCTTATTTAAAAGCAGTCTGCACTGATGTATCTCCAGGGCTGAGAATGGAAGAATAGCAGTTAGCACAGAGTGGGAACTCAGGAAAGTTTATCAAATCTATTAGGAGAATGATGTTGTCATATAAAAGGAAGACTGAGCTGTAAGACCAAACTGAGTATTCATGTCAGAAATTTTATATGGTAATGATGGCATTTTGTACTTTTAAAAGATAAATTATTGTGTATATGTGTTTATGTTCATGGTGTGTGTGTGTGTGTGTGTGTGTGTGTGTGTGTGTGTGTGTGTTTATGCCATGGTGCACCTGTAGAGGTCTGAGAGTAATTTTATGGGGTCCTTACATCTTCACATTTAGAAGATCAAACTCAGGTGACCGAGTTTGCAGCTTTACCCACTTAGCCACTAAGCCATCCATCCCAGCAGCCCACATTTCATATTTCACATGAGAACAAAAAGGTTTTACTATACCTAGGTTATAATAATAATAGAAATAATAGAATATTATTATGCTAGAAATTTATAGAAAATAATAGAAAATTAAAGTTACATTCTTTATAAAGTTGAACTTCATTCCAGATAGATTTTACACACAAATGCACACACACACACACACACACACACACACACACACACACCTTTGAAAAATTTTGCTAATAGCAAAACAAATATTTAGAACATGAATTTCTGAGCATGATAGAAAATTTCAGAAATGAGGCCACACTTATGCTGATACCCAAAGTACATACAGATCCAACAAAGAAAGAGATTTACAGACCAATTTCCAGTATGAACATAGATAAAAAACACTAAAAAAAAACCCACTAAAACAAAAAACAAAACAAAACCAAAAACCTGGCAAACCAAGTATTTTATTCTGGCAAATACAAGAACACATCAAAAAAATAATCTACCATGATCAAATAGGCTTCATCCCAGAAATTCGGGATGATTCAACATATGAAAATATGTCAATGTAATATAAACAAATTGAAAGGAAAAAGCCACACAATCATTTCATTAGATGCTGAAAAAGTCTTTGACAAAGTCCAACAGCTCTTCATGATAAAGGTCTTGGAGAGATCAGGGAAACAAGAAACATACCTAAATATAATAAAAGCAATGTACAGCAAGCCAACAGCCAACATCAAATAAAATGAAGAGAAACTCAAAGGGATTCCACTAAAATCAGGAAAAAGGCAAGGCTGTCCACTCTCTCCATATCTATTCAATATAGTTCTCGAAGTTCTAGCTAGAGCAATAAGATAACAAACGGAGATCAAGGGGATACAAATTGGAAAGGAAGAAGCCAATGTGTCTTTATTGCAGGTGTTATGATAGTATACATAAGCGACCCTAAAAATTCCACCAGGGAACTCCTACAGCTGAAGAACACATTCAGTAGAGTAGCTGGATACAAAATTAACTCACAAAAATCAGTATATGCAAACAACAAATGGTCTAAGAAAGAAATCAGGGAAATTATAAAGGATTTTAAATGTCTTCCTGATTAGAATTCATGCAATCTACTATATATTTCTAAAACGTGTATGGCAAACAAATGTACCATAGAATGTGGAAATGTAACATGAAAAAGACAGTCCCAAAGTCATGAGACAGTCACATAATTTATTTGCTTTGTGACATGAACAGCTCTTCCAAATCAGTCTTTCAAGGGGGCAAAAACAAAGAAAAAGGGTAGTAATAGTTCACTAAACCTAAGAGAAAATCTGCTAATTCTGTTAAAAATCAAGGTGGTTAGGTACAGTTTTATAACCATGATATTGGCAGATATACTTCTCTTCTTAGTATCTGGTGTTTGACAAGTGGAGACAAGTTACAGTTGTAGAAAAAACAAAGTCAAACACTGGATTAAAAGAAAGTCTATATCATTAGCTACAAAAGCAAATAAAATTCCATCATAAGTTTACTAGACAGTTTCTGTTAATACTTGCTTTTCCTGAAATGTTTTGAAATACCTTGCATTTGGGGACAGGTCAATGCCATTGCTTTGTCAGGTTTTGTCAATGGATGGCTGTGCCTAGTTTCTGGAAATTCCCAGACCAAAGAGTACATTTTGTTTCATTCCTTACAGAGAGGAAAACTTTTCTCTCTTTGCTCTTGACAGGTATGTACAATGTAGCAATTATCAGGATAGAACGATTCAGGAAATCATAACGTAACTGTAATGGCATCTGTTCATCCAGCGCTGGAGTTGCAGGAGAGGACTGTAGTTCCTCCATGCAGGCCTGGCTGTGGCATTCACTTCCTATTTCTGACCTTCTCTAGCAGTGCCTGTTTGCTGGCAGTCTTCCAGACTGATTTATCTTACCATTTGCAACATCTGAGCTACAAGCACTGGCTCAAAAGACATGGTAACTAATTAACCTATTATGTCTGCCTTATGTTAATCTAGAATGTTGTCCTCTTTGAGATTTAGAAAAAAAGACATTTAGAACTCCTAGGCAGGCCACTTAACTGTTTGGCACCCGATTTTAAGTTCACTAACCCCTCCCTCCCTCTCTTTCCCTTTCTGATTCCTCCATGCTTTCCCTCAGCTTCTCCATAGCTGGCCAAATTTTCCACAGGCAATAGTAGCATTGAAGGACTTTCTGTTAGGGAGGGCAGGGTTTCATGAGGGCAAGAAAGAGGAATGGAGACAGAACAAATTTTTGGGACAGTGACAAGTGATGCTCTCTGGCCTCAAGGTCCCAAATGTGAACCCAAATTACTAGGAGGAAGCTATAAATCCTTTATTTCTGTTCAAGAATTGTTATGTGCTTTCGACAGCATGTAAGGTCAACAGAAAAGACATTAATCTTTTTCTTAGTTTTACTTTTATTTCATTTTTTTCAGGACTTTTTAAATTCATTTTACATACCAATCACAGCTCCCCCTCTCCTCCCCCTCCCTCCCCTCCCGCCCCCACCCCCAACCTCAGCCCCCATTCCCTCCATCAACAAGGCAAGGTCTCCCACAGGGAGTACACAGGGCCTAGTACATTCAGTAGAGGCAGGTCCAAGCCCCTCCCCCCCTGCATCAAGACTGTTTGTGGTGCCCTACTACAGGGTCCAAAAAGCCAGTTCGTGCACCAAGGATGGATCCTGATCCTACTGCGAGGGGGCCCCTTAAGCAGATCAAGCTACACAACTGCCTCGCTTATGCAGAGGGCCTAGTCCAGTCCCATGGAGTCTCCACAGCTGTTGGTCTAAAGTTCGAGTTCCCACT